CATGGAGGGACTGCGAGGAGATGCATTTCAGAGGGCCAAGGACTTGGGTGTTCAGACATTGTCATCTCCGGGAGGTTTGAGAAAGCTAATTCAAGAGATCAAGCGCATGGTGTTTCCTTTGGGAACCCTTGAAGCACAGGCACTCTTTCGCAGTGGCCAGGCCCAGTACGGCCCACTGTCGAGACAAGGTGGTGAGAGTATAGTCAGCTACATCTCACGCCGAAGAAGGTGGTGGGAGTTGATGCAACAGCTTGATCCCAGAATAAGCTTGAGTGATGGACTTAGAGCAGAACTCATGCTGGAGCTAAGTGGACTCACCAAGGATCAGCAGCTAATGATTAAGGCTTGCGCAGGAGGTGACAACAGCTTCGAGAGTTTTGCTAGAATCATGATTGAGCATCATGGAAACATTCACTTGAGGGACAACCGCTTATTGGACCCATTTGGCAAAGGAAAGGGCAAGGAGCCAGGCAAGTTCGGTTCCAAGGACTTCGGCAGGGACAAAGGTAAGTTTGGCCCAAAGGGATTCGGCAAAGGATCTTCAGGGAAGCCATCTTACAATCAGCCGTCACCGTGGAGAGCGTATGCAGCCGAAGAGATGGGTCAACATGCGGAGTATTATGGAGAACCAAGTGGATCAGAGTACGAGCATTGGGGATACCTAGCAGAGCATTGGGGAGAAACCGATCCGAATGAATGGTGGTATGGAGAGCATGGTGAAAACCCCCAAGCATACCCAGCGTATACCCCAGACAATCAAGAGAGAGAAGAGTATGTATCTGATGAAGACATTGCAACCGCGCTGAACGTCATTGAATCGTGTGACCCAGATGCTTACCCAGAAGCAGCGGCAGAGGCTATTCAGCTACAATTGGCTGCAAATGTCGTCATGGGCAAGGCAGGAAAAGGGAAATCCCAAGGAAAAGGTAAAGGATTCCCAGTCGTCAAGTCGAACTTGAGCATTGAGGATAGGAAAAAGCGCCTTCAGGAGATCAAGAGCAAATCGAGGTGTATGAAATGTGGCCAAGTTGGACATTGGAGTGGGGATCCACAGTGCCCGAAAGGACGTGGAGGTCAGGCACCCAACCAGACCCCAGCTAAGCAAGCATTCTTGGCTACGCTATCGGATTCGAGTTCAGAGGATGATTGTTTGCTGATTTCGGATGATTCGGCAAGTCCTCATGCGATGATGGCGTACAGGCACAGCCCAAGCAGGTTGACCAAGGGAGGAACAATGAGGGATGAGGTTCCTCCAGGTGGTGACAAGAAGTTCCTATTTGGACAGCATCGAGGGTTAACTTATGAAGAGGTCACATGGCGATTTCCGGGATATGCGTCATGGGGATTCAACGAACGAGCTCCGTCCTTGTATCTGTCTCAGTATCTGGATTGGGTACACAACTATTACACCATCGATCAAAAGACGATGGAAGTCTCCCGGCGAGAAGTCCCGCTCGACCAAATGGGAGTCCCCAGCGCAGAAGCTTCAGCATCAGATCAGATGATACCAGCAAGATCAGCGCACAGATCAGCCAAGAAGAAGCCGCCAAATCCACCATTACCCGTGAGCTGTCGGAAATGCACAGATTTCAGTTTCTTGGGAAC